TTTGTAAATAACATTACTGTCGTGTTTCGGGTGACACAACCCAAGCAAACAACATTTGTGGAATGATAACTCGGTCACATTTTACCTTTGCCAATTACCTCCTCCGCCAACACAGAGATAACGCAACTCTATCTCTCAATCTGACAACTGCTTGGTCGTGATGTAATTAATGATTGGTATTTTATTAAATTGATTCGATATATACACGTTGAACCACAAACTCAAACTCGGAATTTTGATATGTTTCGCATATGACAAGACATCGAACGATGTGTTGCGCGCTTTCAAAATATGTGATAAATGACATGAATTTGGCGGCAAAATTATTCGGAGAATTTCTATTATTAAAAGCAATGATATATTTTATGAGCTCGAGTTATTGACGCAACGGCGCACGCTAATGAATATTTTGCGATGAATTGCATAACACGTTCCAAAAACACAGCCCATGACAACGTGTATGCCGACAAAAACCACGAGATCGAAAGGGAGAGAGAGTAAGAGCGACACAGAGTTTATCTTGTTGTGATGTGCAATTCAATGCCTGTTAATCGCTGTGGGTAATTGTTTTTGTCAATCCATTAATTGTGTTTTCCATTTTGTCATCATCGATAAAATTTTATAACATCCTTAAAATTCGGAGCAATTTGACGAGGTAAGGGGAGTTTTGAGACAGCAAGGGGATTGTTTTTAAATCGGTAATAAATTTGTTTTATCTTTGATGATGACTTGATTTTATTGCATTTTCTCAAACTCTGCCATTTTATAACCCTTCAGTTCCCTAAAGTGAACTCTTCAAAGTTTTGGAAAGCGAAACAATTGGCTTCTTTCAATGAAAAATTTCCATCATTTCTATCTTGATCGAAACAGAAAGATCGATAACGAATCATTTATTAACGACCCAAAAAATTAGTCTTGATAATTCAAGTAGATTCAAGAAAAATTGACGCTCATTTCTATCATACGTCGTTTTAATTTCATGCTATTAAAAAGTAATGTAATTCCAAAAATAGGATTCCTAATCACTAGTGTCAAATACCGTGGAACATGCACATTGTTGTAAAGAGAAGAAAGTGACAACCGTTGGATTTATACGCATGTAATGTCTGTTTTCAATAGACTTCATCCAGCCGCAAGAAGAGTCCGTTCCGGTGAAAATATTTTGCCATCATTATCGTATTATGACAGGCAATAAAAATCCTTCACAATCATTTGTTAGGCAAAAATTAATTAAAACAAATTTGGCTTTTTATGATGCCGATAAATAGCCAGTTTATACGCTATTATGTGAAATAAAATGGGGGGCCATTCATTGCATTCAAACAATCTTTGTTAATGAAATAACGCCACACGGCCAAATTTCGATTCGAAAAATGACTTGGGTTTTATTCACATTCATCCGCTTTATTCTGAACGAAGCCCGAGCAAAACTTTTCTAAACTTCGGTGTGTCGGAGGAGTGATTCGATTATGGCATTTGTAATATTTAATGTATTCACATTTATCGTTAACATAATTGAAACATTTTTTCTCTTCTTGGTTAATTATTGCGTGCGAAGGGGCATGCGAATTACAAAATGAAGCGTGTAAATGGTGTGCGATTTGTATGTGAAACACGTGCACCACAATCACCAAAAATAGCAAAATGAACACGGGGAGCGAGGTGTGGTGAAGAAAAAGTTTGAACAAAAGGCATATGTTGGCTAAACAGCCACCGCGAATGACATTTCTACCGCCGCAGCTTTTTTTCAACCCATTAAATCGGATTAACGCGCGGAAAAAATTGAGAGAAACAGAGTCTATTTAATGGAAAGTAATTCATGAATAAAACAACTATTATTTATCGCATGTCGAGTTAGCAAAAGAGGTGAACAAAAGCCAAGTACCAAACAATAGACACAATTCACCATTTCAACCGGTTTTTTTACACGAGTTTTTTTCTCGCTTTGAATAACTCTCTCTCTCTCTATTGCATACACACGGACACCTTTCGAATACTGCGACCGAACTGTATTCTTGTGTGTTATACACTTGACTCTAGGGTTATTGTCGTTGTTTTTTTTTCACTGTCCTTAAATTCTTCCGTTCTATTTTACACTTACATCACGTTAAGCTATTTCCGTCTGTTAATTGTTCGTTACAAAACGAACAACATTTTGACACACAGTTCATATATATAAAACATGAGAAATCGGTTGGCAGAGTGTGAGCAGCGGCATTTTCAACTGGCGGCTCGAGTTTTGATAAGGGGTATTTCGCGCGCACCCCCACAATCTGCCACAGTTGCTGACTGTGATTTCTCCAGCCGGGCGCACGAGTAAGTAACAGAGTGGGAGAGAGAGAGAGAGTGGCCTCAACACCACACCATTAGAAACATTAAAAATTATGTAATGTATTTAATGGAAAGCAACACGCAGGCAGACGACGAAAACGACAACCAAATTAATTGTGTAATTGAGCCGTTTTATTTCATTGACGACTTTAATGAATTTCGGGGTGACGATTCGATGTGGCATAACTCTTCGCCCATACTCACTTCCTTTCTGTGTTTGTGTCTCTCCACACTCACTCTCTATCTGGGTTTGTAAGCGCGACATCTGTATATAAAGTGAATGTGCGTGAATGTTCCGCTCATTGCCTTTTAAACCGCGCTAAAACCCCAAAACGACGAATTTGTTACATATGAATGGAAAACCGCATGAAAATGACAGGAAAATGTTCATCAATTAGACGAATTTTTGTTTGGTCGAAATAAATTAGCTTTGGGAGTGGGTTGGTTGTTTGAGATGGATTTCTGCATTTAATGAAATAATTTATTTGAGCTTTTCAACTCGTTTCGTTTATCATAAATCAATTTGGCGTCATTTTTTTTATTCATCACTCGGTTCGTTACACTTTCGGTTGCGCGCTCTGCCGCTTTGCTTCGTGTACGTTTCGAACGGGATGAAAACTTCAGCAGATCATTAATTTGATTGTTGAATTGAAGTTTTTTTTTTCATTTTCTCTTGGAATTACGTTGCCTCGAAACTTTGACCAACGTCATTCAAATATTTTCTATGCATTTCCGTCGAAGGAGAAATTTGTTGGGAATAAATCACGTGAATTCACCGGAAATATGTTGACCTCGTTTGAAAAATTACCGACGTTATTATAATTTGTTCAAGTTGGTTACGTGCTTTATTTCCCTGCTTGCTACTACTGCCACTGGAATTGTTTACTCTTGGCATTTGATTTGTAAAGAAATTCAAACGATTCAATGGAATTCAAACTGAATTTATTTTCGAAATGAAAAATGATATCTATGGAAAAATGCGGTGCATTATTGAAAGATTCGCATATGATACATAAATATGCAGCAAAAAGTCAATCATTTTTATTTGTTTGACGAGCAAAAAGGGTTTTTCCAAATAAAAATTGCACAAAATATTCACATAATAGAAATGGTTGAAATCCAAACCGAATGGATAACAATGCCAGGCATGATGCAAATACTTGAAATGCCATTTACCATGTTGCGAGAAACGCATCAACCATCGGGTTGAAATCAATATGCATTTATTCTTTTGTTGGCAAAAATGTTTCTTTTCATGTTACACATATATATGACGTTGGCAAAGTGAACCGTTTGCAACTCAATGGATGTGCATGATAACAATCTATAAATTAAATAGTCAATCCGATGCATTCAAATACGAGCAAAGCAAGAGTTGATTTTGCTTATTAGGTTTCGAATCAAACGATTCGACGAAGAAAAAAACAGAAGAAATATCAAGTGCATTATGTAATTAATTTTTGTTTGTGTATACGCCAACAAACCACTTTTTTCTGGTCGTTTGTCTCGAATTGATGTATGCAAACTTTGTTTCAAACTAAAATCTAGCCAGCACAATGGATCGAAACACTCGACCGAGGGAGTATAAAGAAGCCAGAAAATTGCATATAGCTTAGTTTGGGCATTTCGTATGAAGTTTGCTGTGTTTCGAGCACGTATTTTGAATGGAAACGGACACAACAGACGTGAAAAGTTAGATGTTGTGAAAGAAAACAATGACTTTGATACGAACCAATCGTCGATTGCCAATCGATATATGCACAATGAAAAAAATTCGATGCTCCTTCGACTACTCTGCAGGCTGCAGCCATGAAATTCGAGTCTCGATTACATTTCTTGCAGGAAACAAAATCGCAAAAACGAACGAGTGAGGGAAAACCTTGAATGAATGGAAAATAATGGTTTCGCCCTTAGTTTTTTTCTTCTTTAAATTGATTATCGGTTTTCCTTTTTCTCCCTCAGCCGAAAATCATAATGAAAATAATAATAGACATCAGCTTATCGGGATCTGAATATCCCGGTTATAATATTCACAGTCAACGAAACGGACGTTACCTCATTGCCGCACATACGCACCGAACAGCACAGTACCAACACAACGAATCCGCTCCGAAATGGAAAATTCGATTTCGCATTCGATTTGCACCGAGAAAGTATTTTACATTTATCGCATTGTTCCCGAACTCTCGGGTAATTCAATTGTGAACACGTAACCAAGTACATAAATGATTCTTTGTTAGAGCTCAAACTCATACGAGTTATACGATTCCATCTCTCTTTCTCACTCTTACTCTGAGAACAAAGTCTCAAATTATTCCTCGTTTTTGGACAGGCAGAACGAAAAAAACACACACACACAACTCTCGCCTTACACCCGATGAACAAACATGGACAGCAGCTATCCAAGTGGAATTTTAAGTATTTCAGATAGTTTTCGAGCTCAACTGCACACTCACTCTCTATCCCTCTCGCTCGTTCACTCCAAACAGTAGCCCAATAAATTCTGTGTTGAATGCGACTGAACTCACTTACTAAACTTCTATACCAAATCTGTCGATGCTCAATAAAACCATTGAATAGAGACGGGGTGTTTTTGTACCTCGAAATTGAATATATGCTAGCGCTCTGGGAAAAAAACACCCAGCCGGAAAGTTGAAAGCCGAAAAATGTGTATTTAAAATTATTATTTATTTCCAACAGATTTCTTCTTTTTTTCCTGTGATCTCCCATAACTTTTCACATTGAAATCAATTTTATTACGATTTAAAAAAAACTATTCGCATTATGGATTATGCTTCATAAAATTCAATGATTTTTATCACTACAATCTAATGTTTGAGTTTTTTGTTTGTTTGTTTGTTGTTTAATGGAAATTGATTTTTGATTTATGCAAGAAATTTCTAAAATGATATCTGATGTTATTTAACAATTTTAACAATTTCAACGAATGAATGAGTATGTGTGTATGTAGTACGTAGTATGTGTATATTTGTAACAATTATAATGAGTTTGCTTTTAAATGGAACGATTTTCAAAATCAAACTTTGCTTTTAAATGAAAATTGTTTAACATCTGGTGTAGTTTCGTTTGTAATACACGCCTGCAGATAGTTAACATTCACCCGATGCACATTTGCCTCATCAAGCGCTTTGATTTCGTTTGGTGTGAATTTTGCATAATTCTGTTGGCAAAGAATATGCGTAGCATCGACCAATAAGGTCATTTGCTTGTCCAGCGGCAAACTGAAACGAAAAGAAATCGAAAATTCCAATTAAAATCCAAATAAAACACTGACTTTTCAACCTAACTGAGAAATCCAAAACGGCCAATCTAAAGTTTGAATGTCAATGTACTTCATCACTTGATTGAACTGCTTCTCACTCTTCATGAAACTCTTCTCAATTCTCTTCGACTCATGAATGTTCAAAATGCGAAAATATGTTGCCGCATTAACTTACTCTGGGTTAACATCGATAATCTGTCCGCGTCCAGCTTCAATCAATGTTCGCATACTTTCATGTTTGGCCGCTTTCAAAATTACACGGAAATCCTTGAAAATTCCCTTTGCCGATGGAATGATGATCGGTTGTAACTTTTTTCGCCAGCGATGCGCTGCCTGTGCAATCGATAAATCATTGGCGCCTTCAATGTGCGGCAGATTTTTTGCTTTCGGATTGCCCCATTCGAATTCTTCTTCCTGGAATTGAGAGAGAAAATGAAATCAATTCTATCAGACTGAAATGTTAAAATCCATCACAATCAATGCCTTACATCGAGAAATTTATTTGCCTCGTAGCTCTTTTCGATGTAGCTCAAGCCAAGCACCCATTTGCCGGCTGCAACGCAGCTCAGCATTTTTTCACTGCGACTTGGTTTCTCGCACACAAAATGCGTGCATGCGCTATCGTATTTCATCAAATTACCGCACACCTTTCCCTTCAGCGCTTGGATTTGTTTGAGGAGTTTATTTTTCAGATCATCACTTGTGCATGATATACTAAAGCATGGCACGCTCTTTGGCCTTGCATTACGTTTCGGTGTATCTTCAATTACTTCACTTGGATCACGCCAACCGATAACCTCATGTTGTTCTGTATTCATCATCTCTGAATTGAAAAACGAAAGAACAATTAGTTAGTCGATTGCTTTGAATTGTTTACGGAAAGGCATACCTGATTCGAATGTTGCTGTGTTTGGCACATCAGCGTATTGCTGTTGTTGTTGGTCATTGCCTTGTTTGCCTTTGCTGATGAAATCAGCCAGTGCCTGGATGTGTTCATCGGCTTCTGTTTCTCCTGATGTGCCCGGTTGGTCATAGTTCAACACCCTGCCAGTTGGTCGCGATACCACGCTATCGTTAACATGTGACACATCCGGCTGAATATTGGAATTGTAGCATTGGCTGGGACTCTCGTACTCATCGCCTAATGCCTCTTTCCATAAGCTGCGCTTCACTTCTGACCATGGCTGATGGGAAAATAAATGCCAATTCTCGATTAATTTCACTTACTTTAATGTCTGATTGTGTTTTGGCTTACCGTTCGCTTTTTAATCTGTTCAATTTGCTCTTGAGTTGGAGCGTGACGCGTTCGACGCTCCTCCAATTGTTGCCGCTTGTATTCCATCCAATATGGTGTTGTAGCGCATTCTGGCGTCTTGATACCAGCCTGCTCATAACGACGACGCTTTGTTTGCGGCGTTTCCTCGTCTAATTCCTTGAATCGTTGCAGGATCGAGTTTCGAGTCGGTGTGTCCAATTCGTTCAACACTTCCGGATTGAATTGCGGAATTATGGGTGAGTCCGGAGCTGTATTCGATGGTTTCGAACCACCTCGAAGTTGTTCCACCCGACGATTCGGAATAGCCGGAGTATCTGGAAAGAAGAGAACAATCGAATGACATTGTTGACTCTTTTTTTTTCATATGAAATCTGCATTTCGATCGTGAAATGAATTATTCCTTTGAAGAGAACCCCTTACTCTTGCTTGAATCTCTTGAATCAGGCAGCATTATTGATTGTGAACATAACACTTCTTCATCGTCATCGATATCGTCGACGGGTGCGATTGAATCCCCAACGAGATAATTCCGAAGTGCCATCCGTTTTTTCGATTTATAACAGTCGAGCAGCCAATTTTTATTCACTACCGGTTGCCCTGTTGATGAAATATTCGGAAATTGACGTAAGTTTCGGCTCAATGAAATGAAAAGTCAAGAATACTCACTCCATCTAATGGCCGCTTGATACTTGGCGCTTCTTGCCTCTGGACAAATGAGCAGCGGTTTGCTCGCTCTAATGAAGGACTCTTGTACTTCGGCGCCCATTAGCTGTGCCAATTGAAATAGAAATGAGCGTTCATCGCTTGAATATAAGCTGAACACGATGTTCATATTCATCAGCGGTAGTTTATCCTCTGGAAAGAAAATTGGCTCGTAGAAGTATGGAATTTCTAGACTCGGATCAGCGACCGAATTGACCGTTTCGCTGACTTGATGCAATCGTTTCGCATTGATCTGGAATAAACGAGAAATTTGATTCTTTTCTTTTCCCTTTTTCCCCTTTTTACCAATTTTAATGCTTTTGTGGGTTAGAAATAACTTACCAGCCAATTATGATTGACAATTCTTTTTGCCTTTACATTGATTCCATTCATTGTAATGGCGTCCACAGGCAAGATGAGAAAATCGACTGTTCCCTTGTAGTTATCGTCTTCGATCACTTCTGCGCCAGCGATTCGACAATCTTCCACCAATGATTCATGACTTTCTATGTCAAATCCTTTGATGTATACCTTGAGATTTGCCAAAAACGTCACCTGATTGTTCATTGTGACGCTGAATTCCGATTCTGATTCGAAATCCGTAAATCTACTTTCCTCGTTGGCCGTTGGCTGAGCTGGCACTTTGAACACATCATTCGTCGTTTTGCTAGGACCAGCCACTGGCTCCTTGGCTGGTGCTAGAGTTTGAGCTGGTGCCGGTGCCTTCAGATACTGATCGATGAGGTCATCTTCGGCTTGTGCTCTTTTGTTCCGTTGATCTTGAGACTTAAGCGTTGATTCGTTATGTGTCGACTGATCTTTTGCCGTTGATGCATCGCCATCGAAATCCAAACGCTTTGGTGTACTCAGTTTTGATGTTTGACTCATCAACAGAATGTTTCGTTTGGTAGCCGGAGATGGTGCGGTGGCTTGTTCGTCTGCAACGGCATTCGATTTGCCCACATTCAAATGATAAATGAATCTATCGCTGTCGACAGCTGTCTTCTGAGCGATACTTTCCAGAAGCCAGTCCAGTTTTACCAAAGCAGCACTGCGAAATGGTGAGAAAATAGTATGATTTGCGTTAGCTTGGGAAACAAATGCGACAATGCTCAATGACAAACAGATGAATGTAAGTATGCTCACTCTGATGGGACTGCTTGCAACATTGTAATGTCCTTTTTCGATGGGCTCCCAATCAGAATGTGGCTCACATTCGAATTGATTGTATCAAATCGTGTTGCTCCACCGGCATTCAGGATTTTATTGATCTTTTCCTTTTCTTCGCTTGAGAATCCACACATGAAAACCTGTCCAATGGAACGATGTTTATGAGTTTTATGTAAAATTGGATTTTTCCTTGGAAATGTTCAAGTTTTGAGAAATTCTACATTAAAAAAGAAGAGAAAATGTATAAAGAATCTTACGCTGCATCCATCGAGAAAGTTGCCGGCTCGTTTGGCTTCCTTCACGTCGAGTTTTCCGTATGCAGCTTTGTAGGACAAATCCTTGTTCTCATTGGCTGCATCGTTGCTCTTGCGTTTTCGACTGGCCATGCCAAGATCCGAAACGATGCTCAAATTAGACATTGCCGTGTCGTTTATCGTGCTAGCAAATGGGATATTCGAAACATCCATATTCGATGCTTGTGTATTTTCAAACCGTGGACTATTGGCGTATGCTTTCTCTGGTGTCGACGTATGCTTCTTCGCTTGCAAATCAATTCGATAATCTTCAATCGGCAGAGCACCACCCTTTTTAACGCTATCCGTAATCCATTCGATGCACAAACAGTCCTTTTTCTGATTCAATGCTGCCTTTAGCTTGGCCGTTTCGGTGGCATTCTTTTTGGCTATGACAACGTCAATATTCCCAGAACTGAATTCACCAAAGTAGTTTCCACCTTCTTGTTTGACCAAATCTTCGACTTCTTTCTTTTCCCTTCGCGTCAGACCCGTCGTTGTGACTCTCAGCTTGTAGAATATCGGCAGTTGATATTCGTCGAACGTTTTGTCAGTCGCTAGGATGTTTTCGCTCAGATTTTCCTTCCACACTTCGTCAATCCAAGCGGCTTTCATGATTTTCATATTCTGCATCACAGCGATCTGATCGAATGAAATATGTTCCGCATTTGAAATGATTCGTTTGCACCTCAATTCACATGATTTGCTTGCAAAAACCAATTAATTACCTCATATTTTCTCGTCCTAACACTCTCTGTTACCAAATGTGTCACTGTTCCAGCTAATTGGTCAATGCAACGACCACCCATGTAGCCGATGAGTTGCTTCAGCCTTCTCTGGAAATGATCGAAGTAGACAGTTTTGAAATAATGAAAACGACTTACGGTTGCCCAACGCATAGCCGAAAAATGCCGACCAAATTTCAGTTGATGTAACTTTTTCACTCTCGGCACAATGATATGCACTTTCGAAAAAAAAACGCACAAAATCTCACCTTCTCTTGAACATCAAATGATGACAGACACAATATCAGATCGCGCATGGCCAAATTGTACATTGGTGAATCGATATACGGTAATACCACATTATCCATCATGCAACTGATAACACATCTTGGACCGAGAACACTAAAACACGAAAAAAATGAATATTCTGTCTTTATCACTTTTGTCTTGATGTTCATTGAAAAAAAAAAATCACAAAATCCCTTCGATTGTTTTGTGGTTAGGTTTCGCGCCAAATGTTTTGTTTGACTTTGATCAGACAAACAATTTGGTGATCGCCTGAGATTAATTTTCGAAGGGAATTTTGTCATTGATTCCATTCAATCGACATGATACAATAAAAAAATCCACTTGGTGGTACTTACAGCGCTTGTGTTTGCCTAATCGCTTCAAAACATTCTCCTTCAAATTCATCAAAAACGACAATGTGTTTCTTGGTAAAATTTCCAGATAAACCAACACAATTACCCGGTGTGACCTCATTAATGTTGCTTGCCTTCACATTTTCTTCGAGTTTCTGCAAAATATACCGCAATTTTCTTTAAAACCCGCATAAAATGTTTTATGTCATCCAATTTTACTGTTTAATCATTTAAAATCCCCGTGAAAAACCGATGAAATGACAAGAAAAAAGTGTGTGGCAAATACCTCACGAGCGAACTGCATATGCGGTGACAATTGGCTATCATTTGGAGAGTAAACCAAGTAAAACTGTAGTTTGTCCTCGTACAAACTTAAGTTCTGTTCAATGTTATGCTCCATGTTTATTCCAATTAACCACGAAAATATGTCACGATCTCTTTTCTTCACTCTGTTTTTTTACTCTCTCTCTCTCTGTTTGCGAATAAAAAATGCTGTTCGCTTCGTTGTGCACTATGCTGTGTGAACGTTTTTTGTTTGAGTCAAACCATCTCTGCGACTGTCAAGTTGCGCGCGTTTAATTCGTTGCTTAATGATCTGACATTTCGGAGGCGATGGAGTACTAGATCAAATACGAAAATCGAAATTGGATTGACGTACTTAATCTTGCGATCCAATTTGAAATTGTTCCCTCACATGAAACGAGAAAAGAAAAACAAAATCATCTTTAAGTTATTATTTGCTGAAAATATTTATGAATGTTGGTTTTCAATGCATTCTCATTTCATTTATAATTGTGTTTGAACTCTTTTCAAGTAAAACTCAGTTTGATGTCGAACAATGCGCTATGATAAACTTCTTCTGCTACATTATTGCTGAAAACAGCCATTAAAATGTTCCAGACTTTTTGGCGAGTTGAATCCTCTGCTTTGCTCTTTTTTTTCTGCTGAACAGAGAAACGAACGACGCAAAAGGAAAAAAAATTTGCTGAAAATAGTTTGGTGTTTGGCAGCAAAAATAACTTGAAGACTACTCAAAGGCGTGTAGTAGCTTGAGTCATGTGCTTATTTTGAATGCAGAAAAAAAAGATTGTAACTCACTCGTAGCATGTTTATAGTGGAAAATTTATATGTCCCCAATAGCAAACGACGATTTCACCCGAAATTGTTTGGTATATATATTCTTGTCTGCTTGTTCTGAGCACAGCACATGATGGGCGATTCGGAATCCGCGTTGAGCTATTGTGTGCTTATTTCGCTGGAAATGAACGAGAATTATGATGATGACTCAGTCGAATGGTTTGACTCGAATCGAATTAATTGGTCGGATGGATGCTCGCGTGTTCTCATTCCAACTGGTTTTTCTCGCATTTCTTTTCCGATTCTTCTTCGATGCGGTTTACTTACACGACTTTTCCATGTTAGGGGGCGAACGGCATCATAAAAACCAATTCCGACGGTTTTCAACTGATACACATGGCACAGAGACACACACGACATTGAGTTATGATGCGATATAAAAATCGCTGTGTGCGACTTCACTCTCTTCTCTCTATCTCTCTCTCTCTCTATGTATTTTTTTTTGTTTTCAATATTTTTTGGCAGATTATTTGGTTACAGTTATTGTTATCTGTCGTTTGCGTTGGTTTTTGTGTGTGTGTATATCGTTTCGACTGGCAGCCACTGAGACTCAGTCTCGCTGTGCGCGCGCGACACTGTCGCACTGATGCATTGAAATCCGACAAAACTCAAATCGTAACGCACACACACACAAACGCACGTTCACCGACAGCCGACAATGCGAGAGAAACACAGACACACAGTGAGAGACCGAGAAAAAAGTGCTCCGTTTGCTTGCAGAATGTTTGGCGCCACATTTATTATTATACGCTCGGAATTTGCTGTTGTTGTTTGCTCTGTTTCTTCCGATTATTGGCATAAAATATACGGCGCCGTAAATGCTATCATTTTTATGCGGAGCTCCCCTTCAAAGCGACGAATTTTTTTTCTGCTCTCGCAAACGATGGTTTGGCAACTGGAGCACTGTCGCAATGTACCGATTCGGTTTTTACTCATCGCAAAAATCGATAAAACCATTAAATTGCATCTCTCAAGGATATTAGTTTCACTGGAGATGCCGTAATTTGCTGCGACTTAACGGTTAAACGATATCGATTCGTCCATTCCACGCCAAATGTCCCCTACTCCAATAATTCTCCCTCTCTCTCTCTCTCGCCCTAAAGCCATGAAATATATAATTTTCGTCTCAAGATTGACGACAATTTTGTACGACTCCTTTTATTGATATCGATTTTGTGTTCTTCTAATTACAGACTCAGCAGCCAGTTGGGAGGAGTGGTGGACGTACGATGGCATTTCAGGTAATTTTTTTTATGGAAAAAATGACAAGTTTCCGTGTTATATTTGGATTTGTTGATTAAATTCGAATAAAAAATGAGATTACGATTTCCGTCATCGTTTGATGTTCCACAATAAAGTGTTTCCATGCAGAAAAAACACACACAACAACTGCGATCTATCGTTGCATCATGACGATACATTGCTTTTTTGCACAAACTTTTCGTGTGGTACAGTTTTTCAGGCGATTTTTCATACACATTTTTTGTGTGTTTAAGTCCGTATAAATTCCATGCATCAACCAATTTTGAATATAAACGATATTGAAAACTACCCAGAAAAAAAAATCCGTTTTCACAAAAAAATGTTTCAAACAATGGAATATTTTTCCACTCTGTTGTTGTTTCCGAGCCACATGAAACATTACCGGGTCAATTAATCGGCGATGCTAAATAAATTTGAGCGAATTGTGTTATATGTTTTTCAAAAAATTAAAATACAACTAAATGGACCAAGAAATGGACGCACGAAAATAAAGTTCAAAATGGAGCAACCTGATAAAGTGATTTTTATATTTTGAGCGAGTTGACAGGGTAAAAATTGTTGTATTTGTTTACCAAAATCAACAAGATTTTATTTTAACCGATTTTTTCTTCCCACATTTTAAAATTCTCCAATGGAAATATCAAACGATGCATTAAAAAAAATGCAAAGCGTTAGACATGTTGAAATATATCAATTTCGATTTGAAAGTGAGTAAATCCACCTAGAGGCCAATGAAATTTGGCGAGGAATTCGATTTTCTGCCCATTTAATCCCGAAACGTTGTACACAAAAACACAAAATTCTATATGAATCGCTCATTTTCATACATTTCATTCGGTATTTTGTTGAACAAAACACGCGCACTCTCGTGCGCGCCAATCATCAATTTAAACGAATAGATGCAAATAATCCGCGAGTAATTATCGATTCGATATAAATGTTCATGGTGCATTGAGCCGAAATCCCAACTTAATATCTACTGACATTGATGCATGTTTTTACCGATTCGAACCATTCGGCTGCGTACATTCGTTTTTTTGCCCGTCTGGACATTCTCTGTCAAACTCCGAACAGAGAAATTTACTGGCGTCTGACAGAGAAACAAAAAAAAACGACCGATAGGAATAACTGGAATGGAATTCTTTTGGGCTTTTTCATATTTATTGAATGGATTTTTTGTTTCGTAAAATTGTTAGATCAGGGTGAGAATGCACAAAAGCAGCTGCTTGATTTTGCTGGCTTACAATATTGTAGCTTGGTGTTATTTGGATCATTTTGTCTAGTTCCTGTGAATTGTATTTTATCTAGTAGCTGGCGATGAAATGCATCTGTTTTTTTGTCTAGTTATGACTCATGTTGCGATTGCAATTGGATTCGGCCATTGCAAATTGGGGAGGGTGCAAATTTGACTGCACTTCAAACAATAAACCACAACAATAATGTATAGAGTTTTGTCATTGCCACTAAACAAACACAACCATACATTTGCCAAATTGATTTTTCGATCCCTATTTTCATTACCAGTCCAACGGCACCACAATCGATTTGGTTATTGAACTCTGTGATTGCGTTGGTATTGTTTTAGACAAAAACTTTTAGTTTGGCCTTTACATTTGCATGGCATTTTTTTCGTTACACCCTTTTTTATTGTAAAAGAAAGAGAGATTTTTGTCAATTGAATGAATTCAATTAAATTCAGTGTGAATTTAACAACAAATTATTCAGAGTCGGAATTTTCATTTCTAATCCAAATATTTCAGACGAATTAGCAATTTCGTCAAGTCATTCATATCTCAATATAGACCAGCAGCTATGGCATAGAAATCGTCAATTGTTTGCCAAACAAAATGTCACGGCATTTAGAAGTGCAGCCAAAAAGGTTTAAAGTCATTGAATTCATTTGGATAAAGCGATTGAGGACACAGTGTAAATCCAATTGTTCATTGACAAACCAAGGAATTCTTTGTTGGGAGGCAGTAAAAAGGCGGTAAGAATGCTGTCGAGTTAACTGGTGGACAAACAATTTTTTTTCCTGTAGCATGATAAACGAGCTGCACTTTATTTAATATGAGTGTGAGCATAATGTACTGAATGCCAACAACTGGAGTGGGTTTGGCGAAAATGGAAAGAATACACGAGACACTGCGATGGAAAGTGATTTGACTGGGGGCGAAAAAGTGGAAAAGCAAAACGAGCACAAGAAAAATGTTATGAACGTAATAGAAGTGAAGGGAAGAAGGAAAAAAAACTAATTTACTAAAGTGAAAACATGCCGTTTTGTCTCCATTGTCCGTGTTATTGGGCTAAAGTTGGCATAAAGCTGGGTAATAATAATAATGACACTAAAAGTGGTCATTTTGTAGCATAATGTTTACACCAATGGAACATATGCACGCATTCGCGCAGTTCGAAACCAAAGACTATGAGCCGAGAGAGAGAGAGAAAAGAACAAGGATTCAGTTTGAAAAGAACATAAACCGCCAACATGCAGTGGGTATGAACCAAATGAGTGTGTGACGAGCAAAAGGATGAACTCAGATTGGGGGACTAGAGAAAAATGCTGACGCATATCTCGTGTGTTCTTTTCAATTGTCGGATTTCTTTCTGTGAGTAGAAGTGATTTGATGTGGCATGGCCCCGGTATATGCGGTTAATTCATATACAAACACGCAGATAGAAAAAATCGAGAGAAAAGATTGAATAGATCCTTTGAATGGCCGTTGCTCTAGGGGGTAGACACGGATTCTAATATTGGTCTAATATCACTAATCTGTCTAATTTTTGGAAATATATCCCAAGTTTTATTTAGTTTTCTCTAATATTTCTAATAATCGATTGAAAGTGCTAATATCTTCTAATATTCTCGTAAAATGTTCGCCATTTAGTTTTACATTGCCAATGCATTTCTTTATGGAGATTATTGTTTTGTTTATTTTTTGTTGTTTGTAAACAAATCTGCCTATCTTTTAGCATTGCCTCTGTACTTAGTATATGGTCCATACGAAATATACAGAGGCAATGCTAAATGATTGGCAGATTTGCTTACAAACAACGAAAAATAAACAAAACAAAAATCTCCATAAGGAAATGCATTGGCAATGTAAAACTAAATGGCGAACATTTTACGTCTCTGTACTATGCACAGTGGTAATGCGTTGAAATACTTGCAGACTTGTTGACAAATAACGGTATTGTTTACCGTTTTGTTTAATCAAACAAAACAAAAATCTTCATAAAGAATTGCCATGTCAAAGTCATCAAACATTTCAGTTTCTAATATTTTCTAATATTCTCTAATTTACTGTATTAGATTCTAATTTACTAATCGTGTCTACCCCCTAGCCGTTGCTACAGTCAAAAGGCTTAACATGAACCGTGTTTGACCATAAAGAGCGAGTGTGAATTTCATGTTGTACACGTTCTTAATGGAAATAATTTTTATCCAGTAAACATTTCACAGGCCGCGCTAGCGTCCTATCTAAATACATTATAATGAATAAGTACAAACTAATACATATGCATTTCTACTATGAATACGTTTCATGCTATGTGTTTTAATTTCATTTAATTTTGGAAATTGAAAAAAAAAACTTCTCGACAAAATATATTTTAAAACATCATTGCAATAAAAAAAAACTTCCAAGTAAGAATGAATATATTGATATTGAGTAAGAAAATTCGGTGAAATCGGTGAAATACTTGAATCAAACATAAACGTTTGAAAAACGTACGACGCGCGCCAAAGCATAAGTGATGTCAAAGTGTGTACAAAGAGTGAAGCAATAGTGCGTTTAATGCTATGTGCTATAGTGTCTCTGTTGATGTTGATCGCTGACGTTTATAGTGGTAGACATTTCACTGCAAAGTGACCACAGTAGTCCGTAATAACACATTCATTTCGATGCCAATGAAAACATTCCATTCTGCAAATAACACCAGCATATCGTGTATTGCATGTATGTGGCACAAAAATGCGATACAGAATGCTGATCCCACTGAAGCCAACTGTAAATTGGGGCATCTTGCCACATTGCACTATGTCAACAATGCCCATTTGCTTTTGCTTCAGCATCTCAAACCACCACCTCCCTCTCACTTCGAATGCCATCCAACCGCATTATGTTATGCAAACGCATTTCATTAATTTTTCAACAAATTATTGAAATTGTCAACAAAATTCTTCAATCAAATTGACGGTAATGAAAACTTTATTTCACACAAGTTCGTCGAGCGTATGTCAGCTAATGCGCACCGTCACGCAGCCTTCCCCCTTCCCCATCGAAATAATTCATTTTTCGCTGCATCGTCGCTTTGGCAAAAGTCAACAATGCTAATAATTCAACGCATTTAATCCAAAATGCTGCCACTTAAAACAAAAGAAAACTTCAAACAGATTTGTCAGTGCAAACATTTTCTGGTTTCCGAATCAAAGCAACGACAACGAGGACGACGGCTGTTCCTCACACTTCCTCTCGAGACTGGGGAATTCGTTTTCTATTGTTTTCACACAACACTTTCCATACTTTCAAGTTTGAGTTCTCTTCCTCCTTCATCGCTCTCTATCTCTCTTTCCTCCGTTCGCGAACTCTTTCTCATTCTCTAGCCCCTATTTATAATAGTCGCACAATTTTCAGGCGATGACTTTTGTGTCGAGGTTTTGCCTTTTTAAGCGAACATTACCGCAAATTCCATCTGAAAATCGTTCACATCCATTTCGAAGCAAATGAGATTCATTTTTTGGTATGTCGTTTCACTTTTGCTCGCTCGGTTCGCTCTCTTTTCGAAAACTTATTCCTCGGTGCAAGTTTTTCGCACCCAGCCGACGCGTTCACCATGAGATGAGTGTTTGTACAAGTGTGAAGTCTCTTTTTCACCAACTTTTTGTTCGAATTTCAATAACCGCACAGAATTATTAAGCTTAATAAAATTAAAACCTAAATGAAAATTGCAATTTATTTTCATGCAAAAAGCCGCGCGT